AGTCTCGCCGTGTGCCATCACTATAAGGGATTAGAGTATATTAAACTTTAAACATTATATAGGCTACACTAACATGACGTTTTGGTGGTTCATTTAACTAATATACGTAATGCACGTCTTTTTTTTTGGGGGGGGGGGGGGGTAATGAAAGTGTTCCAAATCGCGACAATAATTTTTTGACGACCAAATACATGGAAGTCAGTCCTATGTCTTATCTTACAAAATCTTCAGAACTTTATATACAGTCTCAAAATTTCACATTTGTCAATTTGTTTATATTTTATTAAATACTGTGTGGTAACTTTAAGGATGCATCTTATCAAGAGAGGTGTCTGTGGAAGTAGGGTCTACACAGCAGTAGAAACACAAAGCCTAACATAAAAGCAATGAGAACATATTTCTAGACTAGCGTGAGATTCCGAAACTATTAGGACTAAAATATTAGACTTATGTACAGAAAGGAAGTATTGATATAGTTATTTTCTTCTATTGCCAGGTGGTTAGGGTGCTCGACTCGCAATCTGCGGGTCGCGGGTTCGAATCCCCGTCCCACCAAACATGCTCGCCCTTTCAGCCTTGGGGGCGTTATAATGTGACGGTCAATCCCACTATTCGTTGGTAAAAGAGTAGCCCAAGAGTTGGCGGTGGATGGTGATGAATAGCTGCCTTCCTTCTAGTCTTACACTGCTAAATTAGGGACGGCTAGCGCAGATAGCCTTCATGTAGCTTTGCGCGAAATTCTAAAACAAACAAACATATATTTTCTTCTAAGCCTTTTTATTATTATTATTTCTACGGTAGGGTACATGGTCAGGTGACACAACAAAACTTTGAAATTATTCATATCAGGAAATGTTAAAATCCAGACATACACGCGAATAAAACATTTAACTCAAGGGTTTCATTTTCGAATATTATTAAATGTTACACATTACTAGGCCATTGCTTTCTTAAGTCTCATTTTATTTTCTAGGTTTATTTTTACTTGTCGTGTTTTTGCTTTTAATTGACACGGAATTGTTAGAAAAAAACAATTACTTTGATTCTTAGATCGAGAAAGACCCGCCAGCTTTATGTCAGAAAAAAAAGTATTACAGGCTATGTAACCGTTTTGCAACAACAACAAAAAAATCCCAACCTTATCAGTCACAAAAGTTTTACTTTAAGTTTAGTCACGCACTCACGACTCATTCAGTTTCCTACGATTTATACCACACGTGAAAAAAGTTGGCATTTACCTCCCATCAACTGAGGGGGTTGTTTAGCGTCTAACTGTCTATACGATGGACAGGACGTGGATTTGGGCTAAGTCACCCAACTAATGTTGTTGTTTTTTTTTTATTCAGCTTCCAAAGGAGTTTGTGATATGATTCGGTCACTAGTATTTCTGACATGATTTTGTCTCCTTTTTGTTGATTGACAAGAAAATATAGATAATTTTACGAAAGATTTAGAGACAAGTCCAAATAATCCAAAATAGTAGTCGTTACACTGTCATTTTTGTAAGATGTAATTGTAAATGCTTGACTGGACTCCACAGTTGGAATCTATTTTTAGAAATGACAGATGGAAACTGGTCATTGTCTTGTGCAGCATTAAGTCAGATAAACGTGATAAGAAACAGATACGTTTTAAATCTATGATAATTATTGTTAACAGGAATATTTGTTATTAAAAATTTGATACAATTTGGAAAAGTATCAGAAATTTGTTATGCTTTTATTATTTATTTTTATAAAACCCATTCGATATTTTGACAATTCGACAAAAAAAAAGTAAATCACTTTATTATTTAAAACAACGCATTATTTGATTCAGCAAGTATAAAATGAAATATTACACCAACATTTAATGTCTAATAACATTAAAATTCTCAGAGATAAGTATTTTTAAAATAATGGTGGTACAGACTATGTAAGTCTAATGCTTAGTAATATTTGATTTAGACTGCTTTAATTTCAAAAAGTTAGTGTTTTTCTTTCGTCGGTGGCTTTGAATACCTTTTTCAGTGACGTAGTATTCATATCTCTACTGAGAAAGTCCTCTGCAAAGATCAACAACTGAAGTACACCATATACATAGCATAAAGTAACGGGGCTAAAACATGTTGAACCACAAAAAGCAGCACATTTCAACATCATATGCAAACATCAAATTTGTGCTTTCTTTATAAGTTTTTGTTTGTTTGTAATTAAGCACAAAGCTATACGATGGGCTATCTGTGCTTTGCCCACCACGGGTATCGAAACCCGGATTCTAGCGTCGTAAGTCCACAGACATACCGCTGTGCCTCTGGAGGGCTTTTAATAAGTGTGAACTTCAAGTCATGAGTGTTAAATTTGTTAAATTATGAAGAAATTGGAATTTTAAGATGCTTACTAGAATCCCAGGATTTAAAATGAATTTTTTTATGAGCCTAATAATTTTAGCTAAACTATTTTCACCAACAGCAACTTCACTTCTTCTCACCAACACAACTTCACATTTAAGCCCATGATTATTCGATATATTTAAAGATTTAAACTTTTTATTCAAGTTTTATGGCAAGTTCTGTAGCTTATAAAAATCCAAAATTATCTTCAATTTGTGCATTAGAAATACACTTTCGTCACTTAATTTGCCCATCGGTATCTTATTCGTCATCAACTGGCCTTAATTTTTATTATAATAATATGAATTATTCATTGCGTTGTAACGTGTTCTATCGTTGGGCGGATTTTACATAATACAGGAAGCTTTTAGATTCAACAGAAGCCTTAACTTTCGTGAAATTTCTAGAATTCATCAATCACTACTCATGTAAAAAAACAACAACAACCTCTAGGGGACAAAAATCTAAATTAAGATATCAACAATAATAAAGTTATAACCCACAATAATTGGTTAGTTGTCATCGTACTTTTATTATCCATGGTTTTGGTTGTAAAGTACGGAAACACCAAGTTTCAAAAGTCATTTGTTGCCTTGTTGCTCTAGCCCAAGCAGCAAATTACTCATTCTCTTACTATTCTTGTCAGTCTTGCACTTCAATGAAAGAGAGTTCAATAGGAAAAACACTTGGTGTTCTTTAACTTACCTGGGGGTATGGAAGGGGGCGAAATGTCTAGTTTAATTTTTCTATCTCAATTCAGGCTTAGCTGTTGGACGTGTTTTAATGGTGTTGCTCTTTTACTACTGTATTGGCTTTTCTCCAGTCACGATCATGTCAGTGCAGATTAATTGGCTAAGGTTACTAGTTTCGTGATCCCGACTGCATTTATCTGCTTTTTTCAATGTGTTTTAAAGAAACCATTCGAAACTTCCAGAGGATCAAACTGTTCTATAAACAAGTTCTTTCTGCTTGAAAGCCTAATTTTAAACAGATGTGAGCTTACAATACAAAAATTGAAGGAACTGAGTAACGTCAGTATTATGGGCGTAGGCAGAGAGATTTGGGGGTAGGGGCGATCGCCTTCCACCCAAATATATATACATATAAAACATATCCAAATGGTGTAAAAACAGTCTCGGGTACCATCAAAATGCACCACGTTCAGTGAAAAGTTAAACATCCCGAGGAAGCATGTATCTTATCCTGCAGTATTGCTTTGACACTCGTTTCCTTTTTCCTCCAAAAGTAGCATCCCCCGTTACAGATACCTGCCAGCGCTACGGCATAAATTAAAATTATTTTTTCGACGATAAAACAAATAATATCACAACCTTGAATTCTCAAAGTATGTTGTTAGATTGGCACTTTAGTTTTAAAAATAAATTATAATATGTTTTATCTATAATTTCGCCATAGTCGGTCCCAAGTCCGGTTGAGAAAGGAGAATGGTTGCCGTCAGAGCTTGCAACTCGGACATCAAAACTTTGTAAAACAAATATGAATAAGAACCACCTGGTATGCCATAAAGTTAGGGTATCTCCCCGTAATCGATGCGTACTTCTATCCCCCCAGGTGGTGTGAAAAGTTGGAAAGGGGTACCGCTGGACCGAAAGCAGCTAAAGAAGAGAGCTGGGAACTAAGGATGGTAACATGGAATGTCTATACGATAACTGGGAGAGGCAGAGAACCAGCAGATGCATTAGAAAGAAGAAAAGTAAAGATTGTGTATATTAAAGATACCAAGTGGGAAAGGCAGAGTACGAAAAAGATAAGTGGAGGCTACAAACTGTTCTACTCAGGAGGGTCAAAAGGAAGGAACAGAGTTGGAATTGTATTAGCTAAAAAAATTATGATGACAGTGGTCAAAATAGAGAAAATATCGGAACGATTCATGCGCTTGAAGGTGACAACTGAGGATGGGCTGCGGAACATAGTGTCTGGTTATGCTCCGCAGATATGATGCTCTGTCGAGAAGATGGAGGATTTTGAAGAGAAACTACAAGACATAATTATAGAGATATCAGATAGTGAGATGTTGATTTTGGTAGCAGACCTGGATGCACATGTAGGAGAAAAAGTAGATGGTTTTGAAGGGACACGTGAGAGGAGAAGCTATGGAATTAGAAACGTGTAATGAGAGAGGCGGTTAGAAATGGCAGAAAGTGAATATTTGTTACTGACAAATACTGGGTTGCAAAAGACAGAGGAGCACCTCATCACGTACAAAAGCGACCAGTACAAGATGCAGATTCATAGTCTGAAGGAAGGACAGAAAAAATGTTGGATGTTAAGATGATACCAGGAGAAACAGTGGCATACCAACATAGAATGCTGATAATGGAGAAGGAGAATAAGAGAAACAAAAAGAAGGAAAAGAGAAAAGGAACTGAGAAGATTAAGGTGTGGAAAAATATTGGAAATATAAAAATTATTTAATGTTTAACTTACTTCAAATACAAAATTAAACAACTTTTCTATTGCCAATGTTTTTTTCACTTATTTCCATAATTTTTGGCAAAATTATAAATTATATTTTGTTTTGTCCTGACAAAGACCACATTAATAAACTCACTATTATAATTAATTAGTAAATAATTATATCATACTTCTGAAGTAATAACCTACGAATAGTAATTGTGCATGTGCGCTCACGGTATGTAAAAAAAAAGCTTCATCTAACGATGTTAGCACAAACGTTTATAATGTAATTTTGTTTACCATATATGGATTACCGATAATAGATTTTCATTTTGTAAAATTATTTATGTTCTGTTTTAAAAAATCTAATCATTTTCAGCACTCATTAGAAGAATGTCCAGACTTTATGAATTTCAGTTTTATTTATGCTAAAACTTCCCTGCTTTCACTAATTATGGTGAGTACCTGAAACTTGAAACTGTTTCATCAAAATATATTCATATTGTTTAATAGAAGTTAAGTTTTATTATAGAGAGGTAAATATAAGAGAAAAAGCTTAAAAAAATATACCATTAATTTTTGCTGTTTTTCTGCTCCTCAATGTCACAAGTAGGCTTAGCAAATTTCGATCTACAATTAAACTCTAGCGCAGTTACGTTAGACGATTAAGTATTTACGTCCTCATACAGTTGTATCTAGTATAAACAAAATCGAATGTTGTTATTGTTGTCTTCTCTTTAAAATATAGTTCTAGTCCTTCAAAGTACGTTGTTTGCATGTTAAATATTCAGTGATCATGTGACTAATTACTCAACAAAATAACAGTAATTTAATCATTGTTACTCATTTAATTTTTATGCTGTTGTATTTTAGTTACTTACTTAGGAATGATTTAATTCTTTTATTTGGCTTCAGATACTAAAGATGGAATCGGATGCGCTCCGAAACACTTATCTGTATTCCTTTGTGTTATAAATAAACAACGTTGTTTACCTTAAGTATCGTTATCCTTTTTATTGTGAAACATCGTTTTCCTCCAAACACATCAATTACTAATATCTCAACAAATATAAGTTAACGACAAAAACAGTTTAAATACTAAAGTATACGGAAAGTTAGAATGATAATTAATCTATGATAAACATTTTACAGGTATAAAAGTAATATAACGTTAGTAATGAGCTAGTATAATTTACCATTGTGATTGCACGAGTTGTTAAAAGTACCTTATTAGTATCAGCAAGGGGTTAACCATTTATCACACTTAGGATTACAAGCTACGTGTACCAAGACAGTTTTGAACTTGATTGACTCTTTTTTTTTTAGAGTTACGAGTTACAAGTTGCCTGCAGTAATCATCCTGTAGACTTACTCGCTTACTTAGTGTTACTTGTATTACAAGCTACGTGTACTAAGAGCATTTTGAACTTGACTGACTGTTTCTTAGACTTACGAGTTACAAGTTGCCTGCAATAATTATCCTGTAGAATGACTCGCTTACTTAATGTTACTTTTACTACAAGCTACGTGTACTAAGAGCGTTTTGAATTTGACTGACTGTTTCTTAGAGTTACGAGTTACAAGTTGCCTGCAATAATTATCCTATAGAATTACTCGCTTACTTAGTGTTACTTGTATTTAGAGCAAAACTGACAGTCTCCATTCCAGAGTTACAAACAGTGGCGTAAGTATGCGGCTATATGTCCCCCAATCCCTGCAATTGATGAGGGGGGGGGGCGAGCCAAAAGGAGGCCCGAAGGGCCTGACAAGTTTAAGAACAGCCGACAAGGGGGAGAGATACGATTTAATTTGTTTGAAGTAAGGGATGGTTGCACTATTCAATTAAGTTAATGATATCACTCAGCCAGAACCGTAATTATAATTATATGGAAATAAATATATAGAGAGTCCAATTACGCCACTGGTTACAAGTTACCTGTGGTAATAATCATTTAGACTTACTCGCTCATTTAATGTTACAAACTACTTGTGCAAAGAACGCTTTTTGAACTTTACTTGTCTGCATACCTACAAGTCAATTAACCCCTGGTGGCTCAGCAGTAAGTCTGGGAGTAAGTCTTATAAAGTTAAAAAACTGGGTTTCTATACACGCGATGGGCGGAACACAGATAGCTTATTGTGTAGCTTTGCGCTTAACAACAAACAAACAAGCCAATTATAACGGTTGTTCTTAGATTTTCACATTTACTTAGCTTCATAGTACTAGTTAATTTTGACGTTTGGTTTATTTTGGACAGTACTGTAAGTTTTTACACTATTTATTCTTCAACATCAACGCGTTTCTCTTTTATGATACAGGTTACTTGTACTAATTACTGTTTAGTCTTGGCCTGTTTTGGACAGTGTTATAAGTTTCCTGTACTACTTACCCATCAGATTTGACTCGTTTCTATTTAGTGTTGTAAAAATATAAGTTACTTGGAGTTATTACCCTCTATGGTTTAGTCGTTTTCTATAGCGCTTTAGATTCTTGTACTTTTTACCCTTTACACTTGGCTCTTTATTTATAATGTTATGAGTTATTTGTACTAATTATCATTTAGTCTTAACCCATTCTCTTAGTTTCACAATTACCCCTCGAGCTGTTGAATAGGTTGGTTGAAAAAAGCTGTCAAGGTTAACGGGTTTTTGGAATGAAGCACAAGATGGATCTTGGAAGACGGAAAGCTGGCGATCGTCCAACCCCTCGCACCCCAATTCTCTTTCTCCTCTCCCCTTTCTTTGCAATTATCTATTTTTTGATCATGAAATATACATAAATAAAGATGTCATTAATAAACTTCACCCAACTGGATTCTTTGTAAACTTTGTAATCATTCGTCATTAAAATGAAGGATTGCTATTTAAGATTATAATATGTATGTACACATGTGCAAACAAATACAAACCTTGAAGAATAAGATAAGCTTTAACGGCGTTAGATTCGGTCTAATTGTAAAACATTGATGACATAATATACAAATTAACTACTGTTCCTAACCACTTCATGTACAAATGTTTCAACATTAACTTCTGTTTGCTTAAAAATACAGCAATATATATATATATATATAGAGAGAGAGAGAGATATTTTGTGCCAAATGCTCTATCATAATTAAAGTTTATGTGAATAACAGACGAAAAAATAAAATAACTTGAAGTTAAACGCCAAGCTAAACAGTTTTGACTTTGCTTGTATTAGATAATTTCCAGTAAAATACTTTATTGATCCATGTATAAAATCAATTTTCTAGCATTTTTACTCCCTTCTGGGGAAACATAGTTTTTCATACTCTTTTTCTGTACTGTTATTAGTTGTTCTCAAAAAGTTTGAGTTTCGCTATTTTCTCTCCACGGTGGGTAAACCTATAGAGTCCGCTCACTATCTTATGTAGGAGTCTAACCCTGATTTTTACTGTTCACTTTAAATGGAGAGTCTTCCATGACAGATAAGAAGAAAGGTTGCGACAGATGTTTTAGCACGTTCACAGGTCCTTTCATCAGATCAAGGCATATATTTTGTTTTAATGTTATTTGGCTTTCAAAAAAAAATAATAATAATAAAACATCCGAAACTTATTGTTAAATTTTAGTTAACAACTGATTTTTAGTTGTCATTTATTTTTAGTTCTATCCTTATTTATTTTTAAATTTATGTTTATTTGGTCACCGAATTCAGTTCAATATATAAATATAGTACTTCCCTGTAGTAAGACTTTCTTAGCGATGATTGTTATGGCTTGTCTTACCTAACACTTTTGCCTATAGGTGGAGTTGATAAATAACAACATCCTTTCGCAGTTTCTTTTTTTTTAACCTTATATTAATTATACATTAAAATACCGACGCAATCCATTTAAGTTTCTATCAATATTGATACGCCAGTATATAGATCTATAACAAAAGGTTATAGAAGCGGAAACGTAGAGGCCGGAGGCATGACATCAGACTCAAGAGGTTGGGTTTTTATAAATTCCAGGTCACTTCTCAACCTGCTTGACAAGACATGCGCTTCTTCATCTTGATGACCTACATCTGGATATGTTTTCTACAGGTGATGTAAGATGAAGTCTCTGTGGGTGAGTGAAACATGTTTCGTTAAAATTAGGCCTAGCTCTGGGAAAACGACGAGTTTTCCGCAGCACACGTGATAGTTACTCACATTAAACGTTACTCCATAAAATGTATAGGTAATCACTATTATCATTTTTTAAATTCAGAGATACGGACATCATTTTTTAAAATTCAACCACGTGTTTTAATTTTTATTTTAAAATTTCATTATAATTTGCACTTTATTTGTGAATTATTTTGTTTTTACTTAAATTAAGTTAATCAAGTAAGAACACAGCAAGAATTCAACTAATGAAACTTTGAATAGGGCAGTTATTTGTTTGTTGAATTTAGTTTAAAGGTACTCAAAAACTAACACCTCTAGACGTCCCTAATTTAGAAGTAATAGACTAGAGCAGGGGTTACCAAACTTTTTTCACAGCGGGCCAGATAACTGAGAGAATGACGAACGCGGGCCGCATAACCATT